GTTGTTGCTGTTGCTATTAGAACATAACAAACTCCAAGTGTCTTGGAGAGGACCGTTCGTTGTAGCGGAGAAGAAGGATGGCGATCACCGTTTTTGTATTGATTACAGGAAGTTGAATAGGATCACAGAATTTCAAGTAGAGATGTTACCAGATCCTGAGAATATATTTGCCGGTGTGACGAACGCAAAATACGTCTCGAAAATAGACCTGTCGAAAGGTTATTGGCAAATTCCTGTACGCAAAGAAGACCGTTCGAAACTTGCTTTCGCAACACCAGATGGAACATACCAATGGGAAGTTATGCCGTTCGGTGTCCAGAAAGCACCCAGTGTCTTCACCCGATTGATGTGGAAACTTTTAAAACCTCTAAGAAGGAGCGGAGTCTCTAATTTTATGGACGATTTATTGTTAGCGACTGCTACTTGGGAGGAACACGTAATTCTGTTGAGAAAGGTTTTGGAACTACTCAAACAGGCAGGGCTCACCGCCCGACCCTCCAAATGCCATATTGGATGTCGTAAATTGACGTATCTAGGACACACCCTTAGTGAAGATACATTAACCCCAGACAGTACGAAGGTTGAGCAGCTTCGGAATGCCGCACATCCAACTACAAAAACGGAAGTTCGTTCATTTCTAGGTCTTGCAGGTAATTATCGGAAATATGTTGCCAATTTCAGTGCTATTGCTAGCCCGTTGACCGACTTGACGAGAAAGAAATCTCCGACTAAAGTTGTTTGGACAGACGCTTGTGAGAGGGCCTTTCAAACGTTGAAAGATAGACTGACGTCAGACGCCATTGTTAAACTAACAGACGTGACAAAGGACTTTGTGTTACGTACAGACGCTTCAGACAGAGGTCTTAGTGCAGTTCTACTGCGAGAACATGATGGGGACTTATTTCCTGTGGCATACGCGAGTAGAAAACTTAATACAACTGAGCGTAATTATTCAGTCACTGAGAAGGAATGCCTAGCGATTGTCTTTGTGATTCATAAGTTTCAGCGTTATCTGTATGGGCGAAAGTTTATTCTAGAAACCGATCATCAACCTTTAGCGTATCTTGCACAGGCTAAATTGACTAATGGGCGTTTAATGAGGTGGTCATTGTTTCTACAACAATATCAAGTCCAGCTACGCTACATTCATGGACACTCAAATGTGGGGGCAGATTTCAAGAGTCGGTTACTTGAGTCTAAGGTGAAGGGGTCACTTCTGGACATGTAAACATTAAATTAAACTGTAACTTCAAAATTCGATGAGCAAAATCTCAGATTTTACTCTTAAAAGGGGGTGGCCTATGTGATGTGTCGAATTTTGAAAACTCTTAGAAGCTTTGGTTAAAGGAAGTGTGTCAAAGTCAACTTAATTAAAGTAGAAAGGGCTAGAGATAGCTAGATGATTATTTTCATTTCATCTCTGAACGTCAAAAGGGAATTCGTTCTAGCCGACGTAACATGACCGAGTCAGATGCTATGGAACAAGAGAATGACATAAGACCCTTTCCCAAAATCGACGGGTTAAAGGGCGGGAGCTGGCTATAGATGATTGTTCAAAGAAATGTTAATTACGGCATGATTAGATGTTAAGTTGTCTTGTCAATCCAAAAATTCTACGGAATAGGTTTAGGAAACAGTCTATTCCGATTGGTTAATATGGATTTATGGGCGTAACTCTGTAAGAAATTAAAGGTTTTACTTTAGGAAAATTCTTTAGTCTTCAATCTTACTTGGAAAAGAGTGGTCGAGACTTCGGGAAGAGCTTGTAAGACGTTATCTCCTGATTTGGCAGTAAAGCAGGAGTTTTGTCTCAGCAAATAGGCAAACTCTACATTCTGAATTCGTAAAAAGTACGTTTTCATTATAGAGTAAGGGGCCAGATAGTTGTCTCAGTTAGGAGACGGACTATATGTGAGGTTCGTGCAAACGAATAAAGAAACGGCAAAAGGAAACAGCTTTCCTGGATTCACATGAGAAATCCCTGAACAATCGCAGGACCAGAACAAGTTCTACGCAGAAATCTAAGTCCAGAGATGATTGTTAAGTCAGAGTTCGACGGACAAGAGTCCAAGACGAAAAAGCTAGACAGAGATCGACGGAGCAGGGACGAACGGAAGTCTTGATGTCCGCATAAAATAGGTGATGAAGTCTCTCATCGTTGCACTCAAAGGTCACATCTCATTGGCAATGAAGATAGTATATTAACGTGGAAAGTAATTTTATATTTAAAGAAATTTGTATTGTCTTTTCATTTGAGTACATGTTAGTACCATTTTCCTTCTTTTGTAACCATATCATTGTCTTTTTATTTTAAATTCTGTTGACAAACTGATTAAATTTTATATTTGTTCATTGAAAGGGGGCTCGTTGTGTTGTTTCTTCAATATATTTGTTCAGTGATCTGCATTCTTCTTTCTATCTATCCACACTGGGTAAATTACACCGCGGAGGTCATTCCCTAGCAACGAACCGTAGTTAAAGAGGTTGGTGTGTTTAGAACGCCGCCAATTTGTCACAGCTGTCTTTAAATGTATCAATCTTAATTTATTTGTCTAAAATATAAGTCTTTAGTTTTCTGATTAACACCTATTTTAATGGATGGTTAAGGTTTGATTGCCAGTTAATGTATGTCATTCATTAACAAAGAAATCCTCCTCTGGCTTCATCCACCTACTCTCCCCAACCCTCCCTCCTCTCTCTCTCTCTCTCTCTCTCTCTCTCTCTCTCTCTCTCTCTCTCTCTCTCTCTCTCTCTCTCAGCAGCCGTTTATGCTATAAAATTGTGTTAATCATCAAAAAATTTTGATAAAAACAATACCATTGTGCCCCTCACCATTCAATTCTTCCAGCAAAATACCAAATCAGCGTTCAAGCTAAAGTTTCCCAGTCTGATATTTTCTGAGATTAAACTGCTGGTAACTAATATTTACAATTATAATGACATGTTAACAGTCGAGCCGAAAACAATATTTGCTTGTTGGAAAGGAAATATGATGTAAACTTTCACGAAAACTTGCAATTACGATACTGTTTTGAATATTGACCTGTTTACTACATTATCCGAGAAATGTCACTTAATTAGCTACGTTCTCTCTTCTGTTGATATCCCAATTGATGTGCAGAATGCCCATATTTTCAGAATCGACTTTTGCTTCGTTTGCTATATAAACAGTTACCAAACGTAGAAACAATGGCTTTGTGGCATATAGGAATGCCAATGGCCTAGCCAACAACCCGATGGATTTCTGAGTATGTTGGGCATACAGACACATTATGCATACCATACTGACGAACAACATTTCATATGTTGAGCTCGACCATGCACAATTAAAATGAATATGGGTTTTCCTAATACTTTACAGCCTAATCTTGGAACGTATGGTCTTGCAAAACTTTGTAATTTATTTTTTTTCGAGATACCTTTGTTCTCATTCATGTGCTTCCTTACATAATCGTTTGTTTAAGTTTTTGTTTACAGTTACTAAAATTGAAACAACATCAAAGAAAAATAATTGGGTGGCCTTTAATCATAAAACTAAACGGCAAATACGGATTATTCTTGATTGCATATGTTCAAAGAGAAATAAATATATTATCCCATGATTGACTATGTTACTTTATGATTTTCTATGTTATCCTATTATTGGCTATGATTCTTTGCCTTTGCAATGGTAAGACTACATTGTTATCTTGAAATTGGCAATCCTTCTTTATCACGTTAAAAGCTGTCATGCAATCAGAAAGAAATATAATAGTTTCACGAACGATTTGTCTTAGATACGGAAGATTTCCCTATACGTGAGTTTGATATCAATATTCTGACAATACGCTTTCAACAGAGCAACAGTCTCACCTCAAAATGTCTTGTATCCATTTAGAATTGTTTTAAATTTTTAACTTCCCACTTAATTCAACCTACCTTAAACTGCCAGTTCAGAACAAAATCGGGCGTTGCGATACAAGTAATACGAGGTTATGATGCTTTTGTTTTAAATTAATAAGAATGTGTATGTTCTCTTCGTAGTTTATACTAAATATCGGGACCGAAACAATTCCATCTAAATCTTTATCAGTACAATAACAACACAATATAGACAAAAAGTCATACAAACAATTAGAATGTTATATAGGATATACAAATTAACAACTGAAAAGAAAATTATTCAATTTTATAGAACACATTGTTATTAAGGCCATTTTAGATACCAAGCATCTAATTTATGAATCCAATAAGTCTCCTTGATGAGTCTATTCATGTCTCCATGTACAATATCTATTGGCATGAAAGAAAAATTGAGTAGACAGTGATCATTGGCATTAACATGTGTATAAATATTAGTGGGAAAATGGGGATCTTTCTAATTTTTAATATTTATCGTCGTTTGTGTTTGTTTTTTTTTTTATCCAAATCTAAATCTTTATGAAAAATCCAACCTACGCCAACATTATCGAAGCATTATCAACTATGGATATTAAATGGATAAGCACCGTGAGTATGCCTCATAACGGTTAATTAATGTCGTAATTACTTTTATAAATAACTGTAACCTGAATTGGCGGTCATGTTTTCATTTCATTACAAAAGGGATTGTATCAGGGACTGGAAGCTCCAGAGAGTGGTCATAAATCACACACACCATTTTTATTATGTGCCAATAAGATTCACGAGAGTACCAGAAGAGGCTTGTTCAACTCCTACTCATTAACAAATCATTTTATACAAAATTAAGAATGCAATGTTGACACCTAGCGGTGTGTGTGTCTGTGTGTGTGTTGGATTCTTAAAGTAGCTTTAACAAAGTTTAGTCATATCTTTACGATGTATATAGGTGACAGTTTATAGTGATGTCTAGCACTGGGGCATCATGACACAGACATGTAGCATCATGTCACACGCAGTCATATTATCCTGACACCAGGCTGACCAGTCCTAACAATAACTCTTAGTATCGAGCGAAAAAGTGAACCAGCTGCTAGTAACATTTTTATAAGTCTTTGGTATGACTCGGCCGAGAATCGAACCCGCCAACTCCCTTGTCTGAGACGGACGCTCTAACCATTCAAGCCACCGGATTTGTCCTTACCTAGTGGTAATTAGTTTGGCATCAATTTTTATTTATGAAATTTATATTCTCAGACGAATTTGATAAATTTTGTATTTATTATTCAAGATGAAAGAATGCATTATTAGTTTATGTGACGGCAAGATATAACGGATCGAACTGACTTTTGTTTCTCACTAATTCAAAGGAGTATTTTATCATTGCTTTTCGTTTATAAACCCTTAAACACATGAGATGCAAAATCTTCATGTTGACATCCATACATTATTGGTTGATTGTCACTTGTTTTGTATAGTCATATAATTGTAATCGTCGCATTCTATATGCTTATATATCATCAATGGGAAGCAAAGATTGGGCTACAATATTTAAACGATATGCGTCTGGAAAGTCAACAGACAGAATATTTGGACAAGTCACTGAAAGTCTCGTTATATCGTTGATAAATTAGTAGATACTGTTAATGCAATTTGGTGCAGTGGAGCAATAGCAATCCGCCTTTTGGTGACCCCAAGAAGCTTTTCGTTTCACAGGAGGATCACATCACAGAATTAGTAGCGGTCCTTCAAAAGGTCGGCGGCTGGACTCGGTTCACATTACCTCCCGATCAGTATCCGTATATATTTTTAGATCATTTCCTCTCGTTTTGGGCGTTGAAGCTCGGCTTGGATTTACACATTCTTGTTACTAATTTAAAGGATATTGTCTATTCATTACAATGTGAGGACTATGGTGATTCTCCGCCCGTTTTTGCCTACAGTGGAGGTGTGTAATGCTGTTCCGAAAGTGAAGTCTGACCCATGACACGTTGTTTTGTTTAATTTTGAATCACTACAACATATGCGTGATAAATTAGGATAGGAATTTCACTGTGACTTTGTCTAAGAAAATATTTGTGATTAACATTGATATTGATCTGGATTTTGACACGCTGAATGATTCCATGCTGCAGAGAAAATGTTGGGACTACATAGGGAAATAATTATATATTGGGTTCATCTTCCCTCAAATTAGCACGGCAAATATCGTCGATTCACTTCTTTCCATATCGACCTTGGCGTATGTAGCTTGCAGAAACAGTATATATCGTTCCGCTGTGTGGCTGTATGCAGTTGAAAGCAAACGATCAGGCCGTATGCACCTAACATCGACGTAGATCTATGATGGGGATAATCACTGCACCCTCTAGAGAACAACACACATGGTTTGCAATTTTCTCAAATTGAAACACGCAAGGTTTTCCTTCTTTCTTTTGAGTCAAAGAAATCACTATTCCGAGTAACTTGGACGTCTAAAGTCTAACGAACTCTTTAACTGGTTAATTTATTTCATGTTCTACGGCGAGTGGTTATTTCATCTCCCTCTGGGGAATATAAACACGATTATGGTTATCAACATATGCATAGAGTTATGTAGTAATAAGTTGATCGACAAGAATACGGGCTTCCTTCAGATTCAGCGACTCACATCACTTCTACGACCACGTTTTTTAACTTGTTTGAAATTGTTGCACAATCCAGGTTCAACGAAAGTTTCGAAAATAAACAGAACATAATCTATGTACCATCTTTTGCAACGGGTAATTAACTCTTCTAGAAATTTTACTTGACAAATGGTCATAGAAAGATCAAAATGTATCTAAAGGGCCGAATTCAGCTTACATTTTAATGTTGTTTTTGTAATAGAAATTTTGGTATTTAGGTAAATTGTTAAAGAAGGTTGCCAATACCAAAATGATAACTCTTATACCTTTAACTTTGTTTCAAATACTATACAATATTTTGGATCATGTAATACAAGTCAAGAATAAAAAAGGTGTGCGTTTATTGTAGTGTTCTTGCCTTATTTAGTGTGTCTCTTCAAGTTTATGTTTCATTATGCGCTATGTTGTTACATACTTCGTTCACCAACTGCTTTGTCCTTTCCAACAGCGCATTTAACAATATACAAAGTTTCTTTTGGATTCTAAAGATTTAAATATATTTATTTATTTTCTTGTTACATAGTTCAAAATCAATACTTTGTGCAACATCAATGTTCTCATGTGAATCACAGAAAATATTATATTGTGATTGAATGCCTTATTATGCCTCACAAAACAAATAAAAAACTTATGCATGGTTTGCATAATTCTACTTCGAACTAACGAGTAGCAAAGTGCAACGGAAAGGTCAAAATCGTAATTGGGAATTGTCCTAGTATTCTCAAACTACGGAATATATTATCTCTCAAGTCCTGTCGAATTAATACAAGTAGATGGCTTCATAAGTATTCATTCGTCTTGTGTTTTGACCTTGTATTATCCAGGCTGGAATTTAGAAACGAGCGAGTCAATAAACTGCACCTGATAGACCAGGAGCGTCAGTTACTTGTTCATGTCGTTGTGAATGATATTTATTGTTGTATTCAATGATGTTGCAGTTGCCTGCATGATCATGTGACCACCACAGCTGCGCAATTATTGGTTGGGTTGGTATAAGAGACCGGGGGGATGTCCACCTGGTGTGCGGCTTCTCTGTATCCAGTTCGTTTCTCTGTATCCAGTTCGATTTTTCCTCGAGAAATTTAATAAACATCCAAAAACGAGCCACTGCCGCAGTACAATACAAATAGCTTATTTGTACCGCTACAGCTGATGACTGTGTAAAAACCGAAAGGGATATGTTTAGCAATTTATGTTGTAATTGTTTTCCCCGACAACCTTTGGTCATTGGAACCTTTGTTTCTCACTAGAGATTTAGACATTCAGTGCCGGAGTAAATAACATATGGAATTTTTACCTTCCATTGCACCACGATTTCTCGAAGACCCCGAGGTTGCCAAACAGCTATTGAGTACTAAATACGTATATTCAGCATATACACGGAAACATTCTTCCATGATTCTTTAAGTACTAGTACACCATCAGGGAAAGACGATTGGACCATTTATGCTGCCTAACAACAAGAGATCAACGTTAGTCCGCTTGTTTGTTGAGAGGGATAATCGAAGCGGTTGAAGACTGCATTTCCAAATCAATACATCAACGGCAATACAAGGGTCGGGTTATTTAAAGTTTATGTTACTAGTAACATGTTCATTGGTAATATGTTACCAATTTTTGTTCAACTATGTTTCGTTTATATGTTCTTGTTTGATTTGTTCGCTTGTTCTCAGGATTCAGCACAAATAAGATTGACAAATTCGAAATACAGTGTATCGTCGTTTCTCGCGTTTTTCCATGCTCTCATTGGTATACACGCTGGCATTGAAAAATAGTTTGACACAAAAATGCTAATTACTTTTGACATAATCTAGTCATTTATTCGGGAAACGCATAATTTCTTCGCACTCTTTGTTATGGCAAATTAATACATGGAAGTGTATGCGTGTGTCACTTGGATTTCGATAGGTCTAAGGTAATCTAATTTATTTACACTTGAGAGTAATGAGTATCTATTTTCGCTTTAGTCGGCGTCCTCACCGTCATAACTGAGCGTTACCCTGTCTTCGTCCATGCGTGACCCAGTTAACGCTGTCTTCGTCCAGGCGATACCCAGTTAACGTATACGGCTTGAAGTTTTCTTGCCAAACATTGTATAGTGACTCGTGGCCTTTTGTTATATACATAGCAGAGTGTGTGCCCTGTTCTCTCCAGCGCGAGACAACTAGCATTAAATTGAATAGCCAGCCTATCATTGAAGCATCTCCCGCTATATATCGAGTATATTAGTATATTAGATCAATTCTAAAGTACATTGTACAACATCTCTCTCAGGTTTAGCTCCATGCCACGGTATTTTATATTGTTCTCTCTCTCTCTCTCTCTCTCTCTCTCTCTCTCTCTCTCTCTCTCTCTCTCTCTCTCTCTCTCTCTCTCTCTCTCTCTCTCTCTCATTTTTTTTGTAGATGGCATTTATCATTACATTGTGGATTTTGGTAGCTGTTAAATCAACTTTTGACCATCAATGTCCATAATTCTCAAATTGTGGCTAATTATGTCAACTTTCTTTACTTCCCCTCACACGTGCCAATTGTTGGATTTCTCTACATCGATATAATGTTTGTATAAAGTAATCACTTTAAAGGAAAAACCCTAAGATGCATAAGGACCGAAATCCGATTAGAATCATTTTCAGTGGAATTAATCAACTGGCAGATGGGATTCTAAACAAATTATGTGAAAAAATAAAAAAGGTTGCCAGCGGGTGCAATTTTGTTGTGTGTGGATGTGAGAGCTTTATGCCATAACGTTCCAAGACTAAATGCGAGTAGCACGACTTTACGGTACATCAGCACAATTGTGGCTATATCATGCCAACATACGGCAAAATGAATTGCGCAAAAATTTGTGACGATTGTCATAATCCAGATATGGTATTACGAATATTCCTGCATTATATTTGTAAAAACAAATTTCAAGCCCACAGTCACTATAACTGACTCCCTAAATACATATAGCAACTCAAGATTTAATAGAGAACGAATTTATCAGGAAAATTGTAAAGAAAAAAATTTAATCAATAAATTTAACAAAGAGATATCCATTTCCAGCCATTTCAATAGACATAAATTGACCTGATTAATGCAATTCCAATTGTACAAGTTAACGCATCATTCAGAATTTTCCGATTAAGTTTGAGAAAGTCGCAGTTTTTGTGTTGTCCCTTCTACTCTCTCACAGACCTTTGGTCGAATTTATAGACGACCAACCTTACAAGCATATATATATATATATATATATATATATATATATATATATAGATATATATATATATATATATATATATATATATATATATATATATATATTTATATATACATACACAAACACACACATATATATAAATATGTGTGTATATGTATGTATGTATGTATGTATGTATGTATGTATGTATGTATGTATGTATGTATGTATGTATGTATGTATGTATGTATGTATGTATGTATGTATGTATGTATGTATGTATGTATGTATGTATGTATGTATGTATGTATGTATGTATGTATGTATGTATGTATATATATATATA